TTTTTGAAGGATTGTATACATCAATCAAATAGGTAGGTACCTATTCTACAAATTAATTATGTTAAAATAATAATGCTTGATATCTTGAAAGGGACGAAGATTTGTATTTATATTTATATTTATTATATTTATAATATTTGTATCGTGATTTTGCAGAATAATTATTTTGTGTATGACAGCACACATTAGGTTTATTAGGCCATTAGGTAAGGTGTATAGAAGAAGGTATATCATTAAAAATATTTTTCTAAACGTATAATGTGATTGGGAATAATTACGCTGACGAAACTTTATTTGTAGTTTTGAACTTTTGACGTTCAAGCTCTTGCCGGGGCCATTTAATATTTTTAACTATACCGTGTGCCGTGGCTCTTACGTTCGTTAAGGRTATATCTCCTAATGACATTTAAAAAACTTTTTAATTATCGTACTTAAAACCCATTATTATTTCGGATTGCGCTAACGAATTTTATTAAAAGCTTGAACTCGTTGACGGTTACGACTTGTGAGTCATATAACGTCTTACATTATACGTTATTATTCATAAACAGCTTTTAGCTTTCCCCTTGAAAAATTTAAATGAATTCTCTCAAAATKTATAATCCATGTAATAAATGTAATATATTTATGATGTACATGATGRAATTTAATTAACTACTATATAGAAAATTGCGCATAGGTATTTTAGTTAAATTAATAACCTACTTAATAGAATATAAGTTATATCCTACTATTTAACATAGTTGACAAATATTATGAAAAAAAAATAACAACATTTAATGTAATTAAGTTGAAAATAAGTATTTTTACGTTGTAGGTAGCAACACAGCTTTTTATAGTTCTAACAATAAAAAAATGGTTTTTATACTTTTAATGTGTATACAGAATATTTGGTTTTAATATTTAAATTATAAAACATAAATTTCAAAACATCAGTACCTATAATGGATTTACAGGCAATCACGTTAGAAATAAGTAAAATAAAATTGACTATACCTAACCAAGCGAATTTATATTATGATCAAAATATTTTGTTTAGTAAATAAATAATAAATAACAGTTCCTATACTTGTATCAGTTTTATCTACGTTGTATAAATGGTTTTATTCTATGTTTATATGTTTATCGAAACACAATTAAAATCTAGAGATTACCAAGATGATAATAATGATGGCTGTATAATATTTTTTGACGATATTAATTAAAGAAATATATATAAGAATAAGCATAAGGATAAACTATTAAGATTTATTTGTAATCGGCTTATTTTTCCAAGTACCTATACTAAGGTGTGTAAGGTGTAACTACTAACTATATGCACATAACTTCTAACTAGAATACCTTGCAGTTTTAAGTTTAAAAACCAATATAATCAGCTACAGTTTTCTCATCAGATAATGCATAAGAGTTTTACTTTCAACTTCATTCACTCGTCTTACCTTCAAGTATCTCCTCTAAGGCTCTAAATATCTGATTTTCGACCCTGCATAGAAACTGGTCACACGAGATGTACTTTTACTTAAATAGCATTATAATATTAGCATGGGAGCACATTTKCTGCCTTATGGTAATCGATTTGTCTTGTTATTTGGTGACACTACGAGTATCGATCGATTTTTAATGTACCTGTTTGGAAGTATAAATAAACATAAAATATTTCGTCATTTGTATAGGTATTAAGATATCAATTTTATGATTAGAAGGTAGAAGACGAYGAATTTGAGCTATTAAAACATGAACTCAATATAATGTATGGAAGCAAAAACCAAACAATCGCCTGAGCCCTGAATCAATATAAAACTATGAGTATTCATCGATTCCACCAGACCCTTTTTTTATTAGTGCAATAACCTATCGAATCTACCGACCTTTTTTTTAATAGGGCACACAACTTATTGATTCAGCCAATTTGTAAATATTTCGAACTACCTAAGTAATAGTGTTGAAAAATGTATAATTCCTGAATAAAATTTAGTTTTATAAATCGTAATTTCATTAAATTTCATTTCTATAGGAACATTTTATAAACACTATTGATATAATATTATGTTTCAACTTATTTATGTTGCTATTATACAGCGTAATTCACCAAGCATGCTCAGTGCTCACCCCCATTTTTTCCTTTGATCACGAATTTATTCAAATTTTGATTTTTGACTTTTTGAAGTTTTCTTGTTATGAACATATTTTAGATTTTAGATCTTTATACCATTTAAAGACTAAAGAGCGTCGTTTGGTGACTGGTGACAATTACTTCGTTTTTAAAATGAGAATCGCCTTTTTATGTTTATGTATAACTCTTAATTCTGATTGCAGGATAGTCGCAGATAACGACACGTTCTAGCAAACTAAAATAATCAGTATAATAGTAACGATTTTTCCTTACGTTATTGTTGAACTTGACACTTCGAAATTAKTAATTATGAATTTTAAAACATAATAATATAATAAAAATATAAAAT